CTTTTGGTCAATATTTAAGTAAAAGTTAAGTTAATCTAAATTTCAAGTTCTTACGTATTATATATCAAAATACTAAAAAATAAACTTTTAATTCTTTTTGTAGATGGTAATAACATTTGTAAACAACATGTACCCACTGTTCTCTACTTGAGAAAGTAAAGGTAAATGGCGTGAACTTCACAAATTTGTTTTGAAATTTGAGGACATCCTCAAATGCAAAAAGAAGTTGCACGTCATTGAAAACCAGAACCTGATACACAATATGAGAATGTGTCTGGTGCTTTTTGAAATTCATGGTTAAGTAAATTTGATGAAATATATGAAGTGATAGACATTCAAAAGGACCTAGAGAACAATGAATCATATGTGATTCTTGATAAGATGAAGAACATGTTGAATGACAAGAGAAAAGGATCTATATAAAATGGTCAGTAAATTCCATGCCTACAAGATAAAGGAAGTCAATCGATTGATACTCATGTTTTAAAGATAAAGAGCTACATTAATAAAGCTTGAGAGACTAGGATCTCCTATGGGCACACAATTAACAATCTTGTTAAATTTGAATTGTTTTCCCAAGTTATACGAACAATTCATCATGAACTATAATATAAAAAATTAAGAGAAGTCAATATTAGAGTTGCGTTCGTTCATTTATAATGCTCATGATACTTGAAGGATATGTGAAAAAGAAGCCACACAACAAAAGGAAGGAAAAAGTAAAAGTGTTTACTCGAAGGTTTCCACTTAGGAAAGAAGAAAGAACATCCATCAAAAAATGTGGAATGTTACCATTATGGTAATAAAGGTCACCAAAGGAGGAATTTCCTGTACCTTGTAGATGTGAAGAAAGGTGAAAATGGTTGTATCAAAAAGTTGGGGATATATCTGTATGATTATATTTTATACTCTTCACAATTTTTGGATATAGGATACAAACATTTGTTAGTGTAGGAACAAAGAAATAAAAAGGGAGTTGATGATGACATAGAAGCTACGAGTTGGATTCTTGAGTATATATTTTATATTTAAATTAGTAATAGCCCTATCATAATTTGGAAACATGTTTGGTTTTGGAACGATCATAAATCTAAAGCAAAATTTTCAGTATTGATTGTTCCTTCATTGAATGTCATTGTATCGATGATCACTCCTTATAATATTACCTTTATGAAGTTGTGTACATGATGACGTTTCAAATATATTATATTTATGATACAATTCAAGTTATAAAGATGTGTACATGATTATGTTTCAAATAAATAATATTTATGACAAAATTCAAGTAGGGCCTAATTTTGACTCATATGTGACATTTTCATTCTAGTTGAGTGACCTTGGAACATGTATCAAAATTCCAAATAGTAGGAATTTTGACATCATCCAATATTGAGTTGTTTTATTTGTATTCCATCTTTTATGAAGGGAAGATTCAAGAAATACTTCTTAGAAGAAGAACCCTAAGTTCTATTAGAACCCATAAATACTAATGTATACAATCCTGATAGAAATTGTATCTAGAGATTACAAAGTTGCCTTCATCTCCATATTTTGAGGTTATTCTTTAGATCATGTAGTGATGATTTTCAAATGATTCCACTATGAAAAAGGTAATTAAGACACAATATTTGTGATGGCATGGATAAAATTTCTAAGTAGCCTTAAGTGAGAATATGTAATTTCAAATCCTACATATGATGTATGACTTATGCAACTTGAAATAGCAAATGTCTTCATTGTTGATGACTGAAGAAAATGCGTTGATTTCAGATTCATCACTTATAGACGTTCGGTGCACCTCTTCTGTTGCAAAGTGTTGCATATGTGGTCTGTAGATTATAGATGTTTTAGCTTCAAAAAAACAAACATCACATAAGTGGTTTAGTTATTGTTAAAATTATTTGATTCATCGGTCATTAAAATTTATTTGGTTTTTGAAAATAAAATATTTCAAAAACATACCCTAAATTATAATTGTATGAAAATCCTTGAATCTATTGCAAAATATAATAGTTACATAAATTAAAGGGACCCTAAAGTTAAATATGTGTAATCTTCTTCGGGAATCACTTTTAGATTCGATGAGTCTACACATGCATCCATCATCTTAGTTCTATTATTCGGTAGCCGTAAAGGGGTAGCTACCTCATATCTATGGTCCTAAAAGTCATTATCCTGTACAGTACCAAGGTTATCTATGATAAGTATTTGTACAGTTCCATACTATTAAATCATCATCGATACAATAACGGTGTGCCATAAAGTTAAATAACAATGTATGGGGGGAAATAATTAACAATACACCTCAACCCCCTGTGAAGTACCAATATCATTTTTGGTACCCTTATTATCAGACTCCTTACATATGGCTACCATAACTTCAAGTTGTAAAATACGCATCTCACATTCCATCAACTAATTTCAACATTCAAGAAGCTCCTTTTGAAACTCAATAACCATTTGGTCCTTATCTATTGTTGGTACAATGGTTGCTAATGGTGATGGGTAAGATGTATATGAACTTTGGCAACATTTCGTGCCTTCTTTTGTGGAGGCTCACAAGTAGGCAAGTTGCAAGGTGATGGTGTCGGAAAAGGTAGTATATGAACGGGTGTGACAAATAAAGTAGGGCGTTCAATCCACATAGAGCTAAAATGTGACTAATTAACACGACTCTCATATGCCATCGACTGCAACTTGGCGATAAGTATATTATCCTGATAACAAAATTTAAATTAATTGTTAACATCATCATACATATACATACAATTTATAAATTATATAGATAATCATACCCCCATGAATGTTAGAAACTTCTCACATTACTCTGTCTTTAAACTCTTAAGGTTCCACCAGCCAATAACCCAAGAGATCATATTCGGTTTTTGGGTAGCAAACAAACTGCTCACTGGAAACTCTCAAGAATCCATGTCTAAAAGAACCATGTATCAAAATATTAGCAAACATAAAATGTTAAAAGGATAATTATGTATTTTACCTTAAAACGTATAAAAATCTGCTAAGGGTGCACACCATTTTTTAAGGTTGTGCATTTTTTTGTTTCACATGATCTATATACTTCTCACCTTACCAAATAGAGTGATTAGTTGAGTTTACAATTTATCCCAAATTGTTATCCCATATGGATATCTGCGACATAAAAAATTGCACAATTAATTTTGTAAAAACATTAGTAGTGATAATTATAATTATCAAAATGATACATGTTGAATTCATCAAAGTTTTTATACCGAAGCAAAAAAATCATCGTTTACAGGCTTACGAGGCAACCGACCATTGAAACTCCTCTCTAAAAGATATAAAAGACATACATGGACCACATCTTCGTCATATAACTAATGAAGCGATCCACCAAACATATTAATGCCATATTTTAATTTCATAGAGTCAACCTTCTTAACCATATGAAAGGCATGTGATCAGAGGGCAATACCGGAATCCTAGGTACAAATATATTCACCAAAATGGAAGTTGGTAACAAGACAAAACTCCCTCTTGTCGAATGTTAGCTCGTACTCCTCGATCTCAAAAACCATTTACTCTATTTCTCTTCGATGGACTGTCACAACTTCTTTGTAAAATAGATAATGTAAAAGTAAATGAACCCCTCTACCCCGACATGAATGCTTAATCACCTACGAAAACTTGCCTTTCAGAACATAGCCTCATGTGGCTGTCGATCCTTAGGACTTGCAAGAAGGTCCACAACAACGACGGGTTTGAAAGATAATGTAATAGAAGCATTAAAACCTTATCATGCTACTTTTAAGGCAATTCAAGAGTGTAAGGGGTTCTTTGGAACAAAAATCAAAGGGGGTGTTTGTTTGGCAGGAATGGAATGGAATTTGAGGGAAAAGGATTCCAATTCCCTCAAATTTCTATGTTTGGTTCAGCTTCAAGGGAAGGAAAAGGAATGCTAAATGAATTATTTTCCGTTCAAATGAAGGAAAGTCCATTCCTTCACAATCTCATAGGAATTAATTCCTTCACAACATGGAAAGCACAAGATTACGCTTTTGACCCTGCTAAACATTACAATACCCTTCATCAAACCTAGTTCGTTCATCCCATTCTCAGCCGACATCCCATCTTCGCGTCTTTTCCTCATCATAAAAAGGATCGGCCAACGACTTTCATTCCAGGTGATCTCTCCCTCTCTCGCTCTCTCTCTCTCTCTCTCTCTCTCTCCCCCCCTCTCTCTCTCTATCTCTCTCTCTCTCTCTGTGTCTTCACATTCGAACCAAACAACAACTGTGAAGCATGTCTTGTTCGATTGAATGTTTCAAGCTATTTGATTTCTGAATTCAAGCCAATCGATTTGTCATGTACTTTTCTGAATTTCTGAATTTGTCTACAACAAACGTTAGCTAATCGATTTCTTCACCTTCTCTCCATCTTTTCTAATTTTATGATTTTCTAAATTCTCTTTCTCTTCACAATTTCAGAAAACCGAAACCGTGTTCTTTCCATGCTTGTTTTGATTCCATTTGTCTATTATAGAACTGGGAAGTTAATCAGGCTATTTGGTTTAATTTTTTTTATGGTGCTATGTAATTCCTTGTACAACTACAGGAACTGAACAGAGAAAACATTTGTTGGTTTCTTTCTAAATCTATAGAACAAAATACATGTTGTTTTGTTGTTTTGCTATCAACATGTGATGTTTGCCTTTTTTCCATCAATGGAATATGTATACTGTTTTTCTATTTTACAGGAAAATGTCTCGACTTAGTTTAACAACACGCAATCGTAGACAAAGGCAAACTTCATTGATTTTAACATGGTGGAATGTGGTTTTACACGTTGTTGTAGTCCTTTTGTTAATGATATTCAAAAAGCATAGGGATAAACGATGTATTAAGCATCTTTCTTCAAGTGTAGATCGATACCCAATACTACATAGATATGTTTATGAGAGTGACAACATGTTTATATCACAAATTAGGATGTCTCGAATGTGTTTTACCAAGTTATGTTGTATGCTTGAAACATTGGGAGGCCTAAAACCAACTAGGAATATGGAGATTGATGAACAAGTTGCTATTTTTCTGCATATTCTTGCTCATAATGTTAAGAATCGTGTTATAATATGTCGGTTTCATCGCTCGGGAGAAACAATTAGTACGCATTTTATTCGAGTTTGTAATGCAGTCATACGATTGCATACTCATTTGCTTAAGAAACCCGAACCTGTTCCCGATAAATCTACTGATCAAAGATTGAAGTGGTTTAAGAATTGTTTAAGAGCTTTAGATGGAACATATATAAAGTATCTAGTTCCAGTCGAAGATCAGTCTAGATATAGAACAAGAAAGAATGACATTACAACAAACGTTCTAGGGGTTTGTTCCCAAGATATGCAGTTTATATATGTGTTAACTGGATGGGAGGGGTCGGCTGCGGATGGTAGAGTTCTTCGTGATGCTCTTCTTAGACCACATGGATTTAAAGTTCCAAGGCCGGGTATGTTCTTTTTTTTTTTTTTTAACTATACATCTTATATATAAATTTTTATTAATAAGTTATTAACTACATTTCTTATCTATAGGTTATTATTTGGTTGATGCTGGATACACAAATGGAGAGGGTTTTCTAGCGCCTTACAGAGGACAGAGGTACCACTTAAATGAATGGGATCATGGATACTAACCAACTACACCTAAGGAATTCTTTAACATGAAACATTCATCAGCAAGAAATGTTATTGAACGATGTTTTGGCCTTTTGAAGGGAAGATGGAAAATATTAAAGGATATTTCATATTATCCAATTGAAACAAAAAATAAAATCATAATGGCATGTTGTCTTCTACATAACTTCATAAGGCAAGAAATGAGAGTAGATCCGTTGGATGAGTGTGATCAGGACGAGGGAATTGAAGATCTTGGACATGAAGATGTGGATACTATTAATTCTATCGGGACATCAAATGAATGGACCATATTTAGAGATAACTTAGCCAATAATATGTTTACATCTAGAGGGGCAACCAATTAAAATTTGTATTATTTGCTTATCGTTATGTTGGACAAATTGTTGTACTTCTTGGTTGTTGTATTGGACAATTTGTTATTTTGCTTATCTATTTATAAAAAATGTTGTTTTGCTTATCTATGGTTGTTCGTTATGTTTATAGGTATGACAAGCCAAATTAGAAAGTATAGGCCATGGACAAGTATTGAAGAAACGAAGCTAGTTGAGGCGTTGGTGAATATGACAACTCCTGGAGGGTTTAAAGCCGATAATGGTTTCAAATCCGGTTATTTGCAATACCTTGAGAAAGCATTGAAACAAGCACTTCCAAACTCAGGTCTTTTAGGTAAGCCACATATTAAATCTAAGATAAAAACCATGAAGAAAGATTGTCAATGTGTCTATGATATGGTAAACGGTTCAAACACAAGCGGTTTTGGTTATGACCCTGAAAAGTATTGTGTTACTGCTGAGGATCTGGTCTGGGAGGCATACCTACAGGTACATTTTCATAATAAATCGACTACATGGAAATATTTTGCTTTTTGTTTTTTAAATGAATTATACTGTTGGTAAATAGGTACATAAAGAAGTGACTAGATGGAAACACAAAACATTTCCTTATTATGAACATCTTTGCATTGTTTTTGGAAAAGACCGAGCTCAAGGAAATAGAGCTAGAGATTTCATGGAGATGGAACAAGAGGTGAACCTAGAAGAAGAAACGCAAGATTCATATGATGATTTTCTTGATTCAGAGGAAGTTAGTTGTACTACAGCTGTGCAACATGATGAAACTTCACCGAGTGTTCGTTCCAAGAAGAGGAAAAATTGAATCGACTAGGGGTTTAACAAGGCGGTTGGCTTAATTACAGAAAGTTATAAAGAAATATCAAAGGACTTGAGTGAAGGTATTAAATTTGACATGAAGATTAACGAGTTAAGTGAGAAGATCCCTCCAACGATTTTAAAGATGAATTCAATAAGTCAACTTGAAAAGTTCAAATCTTTGACCAAGATAAGAAGTGATCCCATTAATGTTCAAATTTTTTGGGAAATTGAAGAAGGTGATAGAGAAGCTTGGGTAAAATACATTTTGGAAGGATAGTGTTACCAATTGGGATGTGCATTGGATGTTGATCGATATTTTGCATATGAAAGTTTTTGGTGCCTTCGATTTGGATGTAATGAAATAATTTACGTTAACTTTATTTTTGGTAACAATATTAGGATATCTAGTGAACAAGGTGATTGCTTTTAAGTTATGTTTTTTTGGTAACATTATTGGGACGTGTATTTAAAGAATTTTATTAATTTATGAAGTCATTTGCATGATTTTTACATTATATTGATACAAACACTCAATCAATTAAATTAAATTTATTATTTTTATAATTTATGTAATGTATCTTTACATATAAATTAAAAAAGATTGTAAAATTAAGCAATATAGACAAAAAAGGCAATTTTGTCATTTTATATGGATTCCGATTCCAATTCCTACGAACCAAACAGAATCTGGAATTAATTCCAATTCCATTTCCTGCCAACCAAACAGGACATTGAATTGAATTCAGATTCCTGACAGATTCCTTTTCCAATTCCAAATGCAATTCCTTCAGTAACATTCTGCGAACCAAACAGACACTAAGAGTATTCCAAAAATGTTTTACAAATTTTAGACTTGTTCTTCCTGGGTTGGCTTTTTGCATTTCGGACAAGTTTGGGATTGCTTTTGTATGTGTCAGATACCAAATTTTGATGGAAAATAACACACAACACTAAGTAAACTAGTTTTGGGTTAGTCCCAACTGTAAATAACAATTTTACAACACTGCTTGGAACGTGTTCTTCATGTCCTGAAGTAACTATTGTACATCAATAATCTTAAAATTAAACAACTACAAGTGAATGAGTCAATAACTTAGCCGTAAAACTTCCAACTCATCGAAATCGGATACCATATCTTCTTTGTCTTTTTAGTCTGAAATGTGTAGTTAGTCTCATATATGATTTTGTACAAACTTATCTAGAATGTGTCGATATGGGTCGGAATGACCCATTCCACAGAAGATGGTCACCAGGAAGAAAAAAAATCATATTAGCTATATCTTATAAAAATCAATAAAAAAGTTGTAAGTTTACTTCATTTCTGTTTATTTAATGTTATTGTTAAGTACATTTCAATTTTATAGTCTACTCTAATAAATGAATGTTTATTTTGCCACATGTCACGCTCTTATTCAATTTGCCAAGTATCATTTTGTGGTTATTTTGAATTAATTTTTTTCCCCACATGTTATTTTATGAGTTTTTCTATTTTATTAAATTTCATATAATATTTTAATATAATATAATTACAATAAATATAATAATAAATGAATATCAATTTCATTAATGAAGTTTTCTTTTAATTTTATTTAAATTAAAGTCGATTAGTTTCTTTTGTTTATTTATTTAAATTATTGTTTAAATTTAAAAAATAAAAAATTTCAATAATAATAATTCATTATTTTTCTTATTTTTCTTATAAATTCAAAGTTTTCAAATACTTTGACTTTTATATTTAACTCTTTTTTTTTTTTTTTTTTTAAATTAATCCTTCTACTACATGGGTCTCACAACTAGTTATGTTATATATACTTAAAATATAATAAACACTACAAGAAGACTGAGCAATAGCGGTGGCGGTTGGCGCCGCTAAAGGTTAGGGTTGTCGCCGCTAATACCTTTAGCGGCGATCTGTTGCTGCAAATGCGTCGCTGGTGATGCTTCGTCACTAAAAGGTCCTCGTCGCCACTATCGACGTGTCGTCGTTAATACTGCACCATCGTCGCTAATATGATGTCGCCGCAAAAACAGTTTTGGTTTTTTTGTTTATTTAACATTAAATTTATAATACTAGAAGTACTTTGCTATTAATAACCTAATTAAAGCTAAAGTTATAATGAAAAACATTAAGTCACTAAAAGTATGCTGCTATTAAGTTGGTTTTATAATTAATCTAATTTGATTTTATAAATGTAACTTAATTTGATTCTAAAGGTAAATTAATTTGATTTTCTAATTAATTTAATATTTTCTTTTTTGTTATTGGTTTAATTTTTTAAACTATTTTTATTTTAATATTAATATTAATATTAACTTGATTTTAAAACTAATTTAATTTGATTTTACAATTAATTTATTATTTTTTATTGATTTTTTAAAAAATTACTTTAATTTTATTCTATAATTAAATTAAAAATACTAGAAATACATTGCTATTAATAACCTAACTAAAGCTAAAGTTGTAATGACGAACATTATGTCACTAACAAAATTAAGCACTTTGAAACCATATACAATAAATTACTAGAAGTGAGTTGCTATTAATAACCTAATTAAGCCAAATGTATACATCCAATTTGCATATTCTAATTTCATACAATTAAGCAAAAATGTATACATCCAATTTGCATATTCCAATTTCATCAATTTTCATATGATTAAACCAAATTTACATATATATACAAAATCAAACAAATGTGTATATATATATATATATATATATATATATATATATATATATATATATATATATATATATATATATAATATTAATATCTAATTTCAATTTCATGCCAAACTTCATTTTTAAGCCAATGTGGTATAAACATAAATTACAAAAACATACACATACATATAAATACAAAATCAAACAAATGTATATATACATCTAATTTCAATATCTAATTTCAATTTCATGCCAAACTTCATTTTTAAGCCAATGTGGTACAAACATAAATTACAAAAACATAAACAAAATGCGTAAAAACTTCCTACAAATATGAAAATGCATACAATCCAAAAAAAATGCACAAAGACTTCTTATATCAAAATTCAAACATAATCACTCAACAAAACTGAAAATTACTATCAATTTATCATCCAAATTAGCACCAAAACCGAAAAATAATAGAAAATAGGAGGAATTCGACCTTGAATGTGGGCAATTTCGAAATTGAGCTCAAGGGTCACCGGTTTTGGAGGTTTTTGGGGAAGTTGTGGAGGTCTTGTAGTGGCAGGAAGGGCTAGCACCGATTTCATCTTTGTCCTCCAGCAAGTCTACTCGATCGTCCATGTGATGGCGACGCAGCAAAGAAACGAGAGATGAAACCAGAGAACACAAAAAAAATGTCACAGAAAAGGAAACCGGAACGTGTTATCTGTAAGGGGCATTAGCGGCAACACAGAGGTATTAGCAGCGACAACAGGCCAATAGCAGCGACATGTTGGAAGGAAAAATCTGCGTGTTTTCGCTTTCCTCTACAACCATTGGATTGATAACAAATCGGACGGATGAAGGTAATTTGATGCGGATCGCTGTTTGTGAACATTAGCGGCGACCTCTTTAGCAACGACGCTGGGCAATAGTGACGACATGTAACGTGTCAATTACATGTCACCGCTATTGTCCGGAGTCGCCCTTAAAGACGTCGCAGGTAATGCTAACATTTCTTGTAGTGAAATCAGACGATAATATCTTACAAAGACAATGGTAAATATATATGTTAACTACAAAAACTTGTTATTAATTAAGATTACTAGTGATTGAAGAAAATTTAAATTAGTGACATTTCGTTTAATAAACTTGGTGGAAAGATAATATGAGAAACAAACGTGCTATAAACTTAATGACGGGAGACGCTCTTAATTAGAGTAGTAAGTTTATAAAATGTAGAAGTTTATATGTCGCAAATTGCAATGTTGTATGAAAATGTTTATATTGCAACACTACGAATCAATAAAGACATGCTCTAATTAGTAAAAAAAAAAAGTAACAAAGTATTTATTACTTAACCTTACAAACATTGAAAAACAGAACACACAGAAAGATGCAGCAACTCCGAAAAAACAATTGTGATCAATAAACCTTATAGATTGTCCAGAAACGACAAATGACACGCACTACATATATAGGTGTACCATGATCTTCCTGTAGTGTTTATTAGTATGGAACCCAAACAACATGATCTTCGGGTAAGAAATGGCAAACCGGAACACTTCCTGGTTTGACTTTGAGCACTTGAAACGCCAAATGTTTCGGATTCCACTTCGAAGTGTCTGTATGACAAACGGTCACCGCTTTAGCTTTGGTACCATCGGCTCCCACCAAAGAAACAGAATACGCTCGAGTGCTGAAAGTTTTGTGGCAATAAAAGACAGCATATGCGTACTTTTGCTTATGGCAAACCACAGCTTTATCTGCTGCAAGTTTCTTGGCTCCTTCAATCGTGTACTTTTGTAACGGAGTACTTTCTTTAGCATTTACCTCTGTTGAGATCGCTTTAACGTTTTTACCTAACTTGGTGGTACTAAAATCGACCATCGACTCTAATGAGGTAGCACAGCATTTTTCCTCGCCTTGGATTCCTTTGTTCTCGCATTCCCTTAATGTTTGCTTCATGTATTGGGCTTCCATGGAGTCGGATTTTATCGAGAACTCATTGTAGATTTGAGGAAGTTTGTTTGACGAAAATGGTATAGACTCAGCTACCTGTCGAGGTAAGAAAGTGACTTTTTGGTCGTCTTTTATAAAGTGTAACTTCATTTCTGTGCCTTGATGCAAGTCGTTTTCCAAGAAAAAAACCGCTACGTTTGGGTTATCCTTGAGTTGATCTTCGGAGGCAGCATAATTGTAGTTGAATGGATTGTGTCCGTATCCGTATCCAACACCAACATCCGTCTGTTTCCCTGGTTTTCCTGTATGCACGGCTACACCATCCTCTCCAACTCCGACTTCTGTATTATTCTCTTCCGACGATTCTGTAAATCAATAAATTATTTCTAACCAAATCTGTAGAGATTACAGCAAAGGAGAAACAATAAAGAAATCAGAAATAAAGATGAACCTGTAGTCTGTACAAGTTCCTTGATTGCTTTGGGCATAGGACTGTTTGGCAATACAGACTTCCAGTAAACATCTGGATTCACTGCATGACTTGCAACCAGCGCTAGCTGATGGAAACCACAATTAAGCACAAATGAATTCAGCTCCAAAATATCATGCACGAATACATTTAATACTTCAAACCTTACGAGAATTTCTTTGACCAATTGGTGGTGTAAAAAGACATTAAAGATTCTGAATTTTTAAAATAGTAAAAAAGTTAATGATGATCATGAGAATGTACTTACAGAAAAAAGTGTATAAACCTTGAGTAGACTGAAGTTCATTGGAGAAAAACGGAAACTGAAATCAAACTGAATGTGGAAGTTAGCGTTTGATGGTGTATGGAGGATGGGTTTGGTGGAGTATTTATAAAGGAGTTAATTAATACAAAATGCCACACTCACCAAG